TTCGTACTGGACGGAAATATTCCGACTATTACCACTAGGATATCACGAAGTCACGGAGGACGAAAAGACCTTGAAGGGATGTGGATCGATTAAGAGAGGAAGAGTGGAGTTTGGAGGGGGTGGGAGAACGACGGCAGCTATTGGATTAAAAGGGAGAAGAAATTGGGAGAGAAGAAAGAAGAAAGGGGTTAAATGAGGGTTGGAAAATACCAACGGATGCAATTTCGTTGCTAATCCGTATCAAAATGGACACCCAATTTGGCACAACCGAGAGCCCATTTTTTCACATTTAACAACGGACGTAAGTGTCCGTCTCTATTACGTCACAAATTGGGCGGCTTTTGTCTTTTAAAAAGTCCATCCAATTTTGCCTAAATTCTCCCGCCCAAATGGAGGACTTTTGCCTAATGCTCTACGACGAATATTCCGTCGTTAAATCATTAGAATGAAAATAGCAATGGAAGAGTAAGTCCGTCGCTATTTTTTTAAGTAAATTTGTCGCTAAACGAGTCTCTAAAATACTCGTGAAGATTTTATAGCCAAATTTAGTGATGGATTTGTGTCTTTTGCTAAAAGATAGTTGCTGTTATATTTCTAATCCATTACTAAATTGTACAATTGCTATTTTATCGTTATTTACCTTCTATTTAACGACGGATATTTGTCGTTGTTTGGTGCATTTTTGGTTATGTATTATGTGTATTTAAAACACGAGAAAGACTAGTTTTTATTCCATTCCATGGAGACATTTTAGATTTGAATCTCACAAAGCAGTCTTGACTTGTCTAATAACCATGTTTGTTCACCGATTGGATCACTAAGTGTTAATTAATTAAGATTACACCTTTTTTTTTGTTTTTTTTTTTAGCTACGTTTGGCTACTTGCCAAAAAAAACACTACTTTTTGTTATTATAGACAGCTAGCTAGCGCTGTTGCCAAATTTGGTCATCCATCCATGGCGACAGCTTTCTATTCATTCGAATCATGGAAGTAGAGGGGAGAAAGGGCAATGCATTAATGTTAGACTAATTACTTCCATTTATCTGGTGAAGTAGAGTTTTAATACATATAATGGAGGGCCACTGCTAGGATTTTTATATGATCAGTGCGTAGCATTCAAGTTTTAATTTAATTCTCTGCATCCATTTTGGGTATGCAGCTGTCACAAAATTTAATCAAACCCCTTTTCATGTGATGATTATGAAACTTAACCAAATCCATTGATGGAACCGGGGAGATTTTGTTAATTTGGTTTTATTTCGCAATAAAAATGAATCATGATTAACCTGCAGATTGTCCCTCGTCACAAATTATTGGTTCAGTGAGAAATGTCAGTGTTTTATTACCATCTAATGTTGAATTACTGTTGTCTTAAGTAGGATGACTAAGCACGATAGTGTTAGATTCTGTTTTAATTTGAAGAAATTCAATGTAAGATTCTGCAAGGTCTTGTTGCACTCTATCTCACTTTTGCTTTTTCTCATTTATGATTGATATGATCATAATAATTATCAGCTAGGGTAAATTACAACAATATTGTATTGCTGTAAACTAGCACGCACGCTCTCAAGAAATTTAAAGTTTTATCAGAAACTCTTTCTAGGTTAAAAAAAAAAAAAAAAAAATTATAAAAGCCTTCATTTGTAACTAAAATGTTTTTGTTATCTTTAAAACCATAGCCTAAAAATCTTAATACATTTCGGGACTTTGGATACAAGATCAGGAGGTTTACATAATTAATATTTTCAATTTTTTGAATGATTTCGTTAATTTCATGATATTTTGAAAAGATTACTGGAATATATCCTAATTACTAAGAAAAAAATTATAAAAGCCTTCATTTGTAACTAAAATGTTTTTGTTATCTTTAAAACCATAGCCTAAAAATCTTAATACATTTCGGGACTTTGGATACAAGATCAGGAGGTTTACATAATTAATATTTTCAATTTTTTGAATGATTTCGTTAATTTCATGATATTTTGAAAAGATTACTGGAATATATCCTAATTACTAAGAAAAAAATTATAAAAGCCTTCATTTGTAACTAAAATGTTTTTGTTATCTTTAAAACCATAGCCTAAAAATCTTAATACATTTCGGGACTTTGGATACAAGATCAGGAGGTTTACATAATTAATATTTTCAATTTTTTGAATGATTTCGTTAATTTCATGATATTTTGAAAAGATTACTGGAATATATCCTAATTACTAAGAAAAAAATTATAAAAGCCTTCATTTGTATCTAAAATGTTTTTGTTATCTTTAAAACCATAACCTCTAATTAATAATATGAAAAATCTTAATGCATTTCGGGCCTTTTGGATACAAGATCAGGAGGTTTACATAATTAATATTTTCAATTTTTTGAATGATTTCGTTAATTTCATGATATTTTGAAAAGATTACTGGAGTATACCCTAATTACTAGCGACTAACCTATAAACATGAGAAATTACACAATACATCTAGTGTCCCAGCTCAACACACTAATCTGCAGGATCGCCCATGGATTTTGTGGTTGAGGAAAATTTATAATTTCTATATTTTAAGCATGCATAAATTCACGAATTAAAATTCTATATGCGTATCCGGATTGCTAAATTAGAATGTTGCAGCAGTTTGTAATAATCATAATTCCTCAGATACGCATGCATCTTGTGGCCGTTAATTTGAGTAATAAAATACGAAGTAATTGAATGATGCTAATTAATACGATTCTCTCTCTCTCTCTTTCTTTTCTTTTCTTTTGCCATTTGAATGGCTATATAGTGTTGGTTTATATAATGGAGATAACCTTCCTCTGGTATATAATAATAAAATAAAGTAGAATTATTTATTGAAACTCAAATTTGTTTCACTTAAGCAAAATATGATGAAATACACAATCATTAAACTATTTTTGCTTGGATAATTAACATGATTGTTCAATTTCAACCATTTTATGCACAATTTATGTGCCTGTACATACAATTTAATTTGTATCCATATGGAAACTGATAATTAATGGGCACAATTTTTGCTTGAAATCATCAGGTTAGACTTGCAAGTTTTCAAAAGCAAATCGTCCTTTAAATAAAAGGGCGCATCTACAGTAACCCCTGCACTTCAATTCTGTGCAGTTCACTCAGACTATTCGTAGACTGTCGAAAGAGCATGGTGTACAATGCAAACAAATTCAAAGCCTTCAAAGCTTATGGATACATACAAGTAATTGTAAATTGTCAATTTTGTACGTTTCATTCGTACTATAATAGATTATTGTCAAAAGAAAGCTATATATATATATATATATATATATATATATATATATATATATATATATATATATATATATATAGTATACACAACTAAAAATATTTAAAAAATAAAACATTCGAAGTTTTTTTTATTTTCAATAGGTAAATAATACGATAGAAACAATGGAATTGCTTTTTCAAAATTATAGAGGAATTACCGAGCAACGTGGTCTTCATTTTGTTGTTTATGGAATCAACTATAAAAATCGAAAGTCATAATCTATGAATAAAAACAGGTTTTTTTTTTTTAATGATGTTTTGATGTTGGCTTAAAATCAAAAGCTCTTCCTAGACGGTGTTCGGAAAAAAAAAAGAAAAAAAGGTTTATGGTGCTATAAAAAGAAAAGTCCTTGTGGTCTATTAAAAAATTATTATACAGGAAAAGTGTAATGAAAATGTTATAGAAAACACAAAATTAGGTACTAAATGGGATTAAAAAAATATCTATGTATGGAAAACACAGTATAATAAGGAAAGAAAAAAAAATTAGGCAGAAAACTCGATTAGGAATAGGAAAAAAAGTTAAATAAAAATCTCGTATTCAAAGATTATATTAAAATTATACGAGACATACATGCATCAATGAATATATAATGGTCATTTTTCAATAATTTAAAAATATCATAGTCTTTAAAAAATAAATATTGAAGGGTATTATAGTCAAACAAAAATATATATATATATATTCGTGATGTTATATACAGTGATGGATGGGATAAATCTGTACAGATCCCTATGTCTGTGTCCAATCGACCCTAAAGAAAAAAAGCTGTACAAGGCGACACCAAATCTGAGTCTTCCGGGAGAGTAAATTTGCTTTCACTTTTGACCCTTACGCTCTCCTCTGAAAAGCTTAAAAAGTCCAAATCAGAAAAAATTTAACTGTTGCTACTTGTTATTCATTCACAGATTTTGAGAGAAAAGAGAAAAGAGAGTCAACCGAGCCTTCTTTTTGGAGGTTAGTATTTGTAAGGCTTCGAACAGTCCACATAATTTCAATTTTATCTTCACCTTTTTTTATTTCTTTTTTGTGGGGTTTACTTGCTTCTCTCTCTTTTTTTCTTGTCTGCACAAAAACTCTTATTAGGGCTTTTCGTTTTCTTCGTTCTTTTCTTATTCACTTTATCTTCTCTCTTGTTGATTCGCTTTGAAGCCCCTTCTCTCTGAGTGTTAGTCAAGCATGCAAAGAACGAGATACTAATAATACTCCATTTTTTTGCCCAAAACTAGGGTTCCCTAAAGTTTTCTCAACACCAATTTAAGGCCTTCGAATGTTGGAGTTCTGGACTGAAACTTAAGGGTTTTTAGAGGGAGAGAGAGGGATAGAGAAGGAAGTGCGAAGCAGGAAAGAAGATAATAAGAAGGGTTTTGCTTGCCTTCTTTCTCTTTCTTTCTCTCAGTTTTTCAGTTGAGAGAGGGAGTTGGAGACATTTTGGATAGATATATGTTTTCCTTGTGTCTCCTCTACCTCTCTATCTTCTTCTCGTTTCGTTCTATTTTCTTCTGATTTCTTTATTTTTGTGAAATATTTTTTTTCAAAAGTGACCCAATTCAAGATTTCTTGTTTGGTTATCTGGGGTTTTGCTTTTTGAATGATAATTTCAAGTTTCAAACTTGGTTATGCAGTGCTTCTTGTGAATCTAGAAAGAGGGGTCAAGTCCATTGCAAAAATAGAGTAAAAAAAAAGCTTAAGCTTTAATGAGTTTTGGGGGTTTCCTTGAAAACACTAGTCCTGGTGGTGGCGGCGCAAGAATTGTGGCTGATATACCTTACAACCATAACAACAACATGCCCACTGGTGCAGTAGCTCAGCCTCGCCTTGTCTCTCCTTCTATCACTAAATCCATGTTCAACTCTCCTGGACTCTCTCTAGCCCTTGTACTCATCTTCATCTTTCTCTTTGTTTCTTTTTTTTGTTTGCCTAGCTAGTGGTATGGGGTTGTTTGTTTGGTGAAGGCTTTAACTTTTATGTTCTTGTTTATGTTTTGTTTAAATCCTTCACCAGCAACAACCAAACATAGATGGTCAAGGAGATATAACTAGAATGGCTGAGAACTTCGAGACAAGTATGGGTAGGAGAAGCAGAGAAGAAGAACATGAGAGCAGATCTGGTAGTGATAACATGGACGGTGCTTCTGGTGATGATCAAGATGCAGCTGATAATCCTCCAAGAAAAAGAGATACCACCGACACACTCCACAACAAATCCAAGAACTTGAAGCGTAGGATATCTATCGCTAATTTTCATTTCAAAAAGATTTGTTGAGTGATATTGGGAGATTGCGTTATGTTGTTTCTTTTGTTTGTTTTACAGTTTGTTTAAGGAGTGTCCTCATCCTGATGAGAAACAAAGATTGGAGCTTAGTAGAAGGCTGTGCTTGGAGACTAGGCAAGTCAAGTTCTGGTTTCAAAATCGTCGAACCCAAATGAAGGTAATGAATGATAATTAACAATCCATGTATATTTTTCCTTTCTGGGTTGGAGTTTTATGGATTGAAAGTTGAAGTTTATCTAACTGCTTGCTGCAACAGACTCAATTGGAGCGCCATGAGAACTCACTACTCAGACAAGAGAATGACAAACTTCGAGCGGAAAACATGTCCATAAGAGATGCTATGAGAAATCCAATGTGCTCAAACTGTGGTGGTCCTGCAATAATTGGTGATATTTCACTTGAAGAACAGCATTTGAGGATTGACAATGCTAGATTAAAAGATGAACTAGATCGAGTTTGTGCTCTCGCTGGCAAGTTCTTGGGTCGCCCAATATCTTCATTGGCTTCTTCACTTGGCCCTCCAATGCCAAATTCAAGCTTGGAACTTGGAGTTGGTAGTAATGGTTTTGCTGGTTTAAGCACTGTGGCTTCAACATTGCCTTTGGGACCTGATTTTGTAGGTGGGATTTCTGGTGCTTTGCCTGTAGTAACTCAAACTAGGCCAGCAACAACTGGTGTTACTGGTATTGATAGATCACTGGAGAGATCCATGTTCTTGGAGTTGGCTTTGGCTGCCATGGATGAATTGGTAAAGATGGCTCAGACTGATGAGCCTCTTTGGATAAGGAGCTTTGAGGGTGGTAGGGAAATATTGAACCATGAGGATTACTTGAGAACTTTCACTCCTTGCATTGGAATGAAGCCTAGTGGCTTTGTTAGTGAGGCTTCCAGAGAGACTGGTATGGTAATCATCAACAGTTTGGCCTTAGTTGAGACACTGATGGATTCGGTGAGTTGTTCAAAATCTCTCATTATTATTGTCTTTTCTGTTTAACTGAACCTTGATTATTTTGGGTTGTTTAAGATGTACTTTCTTTTCTTTTTTTAATTTCATTGGAAATTAATTTTTGTTTTGCTTTCTCTTTACTAGAACCGATGGGCAGAAATGTTTCCTTGCATGATTGCCAGGACCTCCACCACTGATGTGATAGCCAGTGGAATGGGGGGAACTAGAAACGGTTCACTTCAGTTGGTAAGCTACTCGTCTTTTATTCTACCGTTGTTGTCAACGTTTCTACTCTCTTTGTGGTCTTTATTAACACTATATTTTTTTCTAAATCAATCTTTTTTAGATGCATGCCGAGCTCCAAGTCTTATCTCCGTTGGTTCCGGTGCGTGAGGTCAATTTTCTCCGATTTTGCAAGCAGCACGCAGAGGGGGTTTGGGCTGTTGTTGATGTGTCCATTGATGCTATCAGAGAAACTTCCGGTGCACCACCATCATTCATGAACTGTAGGAGGCTTCCTTCTGGCTGTGTGGTGCAAGATATGCCCAATGGGTACTCTAAGGTAATAATATAAAAACTAGTGTACATTTTGGTCTGTAGCATGCACAGTTGGTACCTGTTTTTTCCTTGCATTTATTGTGTTTCTCCAGGTGGGTGTTCTTCCCCTTTAGTCTTTAATGAGTTTGTTGAAGTAATTGTAAAATTGGAGTTTCAGTTGAGAACATTTAATTTGTGGTAAAACACCAGGTCAAAAATCATGAGCATTTGCATTCCCAAGCCACTTAAAAAGCTCAAGCATCTAAGAGTCTTGTTTGTCTAGTGATTACTCACTGTATCTCTACACTGTTACAATCTGAACCTTCCTAGAGTCATATAATATCGTCTTGGATGCTTCTTCTGATGTCAAATTACTATTTAAATTTCAACTTTCAACAACTAGGGTTGCTTGATCATTTAAAAAATTGTTAGGTACAGCAGCAACTCGAGATTACACCATTTATTTTATCAAATAGAAGTCTCCATTGCTTGAATTTTGGCGTCTTAAACATATTGATTTCGTATCCTTCATTAGTAAATGCCTAGTTATCCTCAACTTTGGTTGAATAAACAATATATTTGATGCTTCTATTCCAATGATCCAACCTTTGATGCAATCTTGGTTATCTTCATTATCTTATATTTAATCATGTTACAGCGTATGACCTGGTTCCAGCCTTGTGATTTCTTTCTTTTTTTAACTAAATGAAGAGACCTAATTGTCAAAGTCCCAAGACTGGCTATTTTGTTTCCATTTGACTATCCAAGCTGATATAGACAATAGTACACATCTCGATGTTATTTTCTACGGTGTACTTTGTTCCCTCAAATCTTGCAAATCTTTTTCTATTTCATTATTTTATGCCAGGACTAGATTCCATTTCTTTCTTTGAGCCCAGCCTAGACCCCTTTCCCTAGATTTGCCTTATATTTTTTTATATGGAAACTTAGTTTGTGAAGACATTATAAATTGGCGTCTTTCTTTTTTCTCATCTTTGAAAGGGTTACAGATTGACATAATATGTAAATAAAATATTAAAATGACCCAGAAGAAGGTTTATCCTTTATAGCAATAAAATATGAGCCTCCGGCAACCTGTTGCAGTTTGTTTATTTTTTCGCAGTTTGACTGGCATTTAGCCTTCCTTACATGGAACTGATATTTGATCTTTTATATTGCTTGGCTTTAATTTCTAATCATTAGCTAAGAAAAAAGAATATAACCTTTTGCTGAATAATAGAAGCAATCAATTCACATGTAGCAATCAAAAAGCTATAATGAATATGTACCTTTTCCAACCTGAGTAGTAGTTGCAATTAACCGTGTCATGACCAACGAAGACTATTAAAATGCAGGTTACATGGGTTGAGCATGCAGAATATGATGAAAGCCAAACACACCAGCTCTATCGGCCTTTGATAAGTTCCGGCATGGGCTTTGGCGCCCAACGATGGATAGCTACCCTTCAACGCCAGTGCGAGTGTCTAGCCATTCTCATGTCCTCTAATGTACCTAGTAGAGACCATACAGGTAATATCAATGTTACTTTCCTAAACGATTTGCGGCATTATTTAACTTTCCGAAAGAATCTCTATTGACATGGAAAGGGTTTAATGTAGCGATAACTGCAAGTGGTCGCCGAAGCATGTTGAAGCTGGCGCAAAGAATGACTGATAACTTCTGTGCCGGGGTTTGTGCCTCAACAGTACACAAATGGAACAAGCTGAATGCAGGAAATGTGGATGAAGATGTTAGGGTTATGACCCGAAAGAGTGTTGATGATCCTGGTGAGCCACCGGGCATTGTTTTGAGTGCTGCCACCTCTGTTTGGCTACCTGTTTCTCCACAGAGACTCTTTGATTTCCTCCGCGATGAACGCCTCAGAAGCGAGTGGGACATACTCTCGAACGGCGGACCAATGCAGGAAATGGCCCACATTGCCAAAGGCCAAGATCATGGCAACTGTGTCTCCCTCCTACGTGCTAGCGTAATCTCTCTCTTCCCCTCTCAACTCTTTTAACTATTATTTAATGCATGTTTCCTTTTCTTTCATTTTTGTGAAAGATGAGATCCAATTGTTTTTGGTCATAAAATATTTTTTCTTACATACTGTTTATCTATAGGAATTGTTTTATGCTTCTTACATCATATTATATAGTAAATAGTGCAAGGGTTTCTCTCTCTTTCATGTTTTTTTTTTGGACACTAATGTCATGGGGAGTATAATTGAAACCTTTATCGTGTCCTTGCTGTGTAAGGTCAATTAGTTTTTGTCGTGATTAGATAAAAGGTGAAATATAAATTAAAGGACGAATTTGGTATTTGGAAGTATCTATATGGCCACTGACGGGACCAGATTTTCGTGACAGTATCTATCTTCTGTAAGCTTCAAAAGTCAAAATATAAAAACACCTGTTACCTTTTATGTGATAATTCTGATCTCATCCTTTTCTTTTTTGACGCTGATATACACTTTTTAAAAAATGGGTTAAAACGTCATGTAATGTAAATTCAAGTCAAATTAGGGGACCATTTTCTGATCACATTTTTCATCTTTTCCTGGCAGGCCATGAATGCTAACCAGAGTAGCATGTTAATACTGCAAGAGACATGCATAGATGCGGCAGGGTCCCTTGTGGTGTACGCTCCCGTTGACATTCCGGCCATGCACGTCGTGATGAACGGTGGTGATTCGGCTTACGTGGCGCTTCTTCCGTCGGGGTTCGCAATCGTACCAGATGGACCGGGTTCACGTGGCCCCCCAACAACAAACGGTGGACCAACAGCTAATAATAATAGCAATGGTGGTGGCCCAGAGAGGGTGAGTGGGTCCCTCTTGACGGTGGCATTCCAAATATTGGTGAATAGTCTCCCTACAGCCAAGCTCACAGTAGAATCGGTGGAGACGGTCAACAACCTTATTTCATGCACTGTCCAAAAGATTAAGGCTGCTCTACAATGTGAAAGTTGATCATCACGCAATGCATGATTGAGCTTATCCTATTAGTGAGTCAATTAGTTTTAAATTTTAACAAGGGTGTGTCGGTCTGCTTATCTTATGGCTGTCAAGGATGGTGGTGGTGTTAAGAGAGAGAGAGAGAGCTTGGTAGATGTGATGTGTGGTGAGACTGAAAAAAAAATGTGAGTAGTGTTGTTGTTGCTGTTTGTGGGTGTTGAGTCAAGAACGAACCGCGCGTGGAGACTCCTTGCAAGTTGGTAAAGATTCATCTCTCTAAGCTGGGTTGCAGAGGCATGCATGCCAGCAAAGAAAGTTCTTAACCAAGGCGAGGGTGGTGGTTCGGGTATTGACTCAAGGTCGACCCCTGGCTCGATTATTAGTAGTACAAAAAAGAGTAAAAACTAATAGAAAAGGGTCTTCTTTTGCTATTTCCTCTCTTTTTTTTTTTTTTGGGTATAAATATGCTTTTGTTGAACTTGAAAAGACTCCGGTTCAGCCTGTTGATGTTTGTTAACTTGGGGTTTTGACTTTTGTATTGATCTGATATGCTAAGTTTTCTCTTGTAATAAAACCTTTTTGTTGTTGGATTTTATGTTCTCTCTGTCACTGCATTTCTTTCTCGCATATGACGATCGGGTTTAGGTCTTGTGCTTCTTTAGTATAGTTGATCCTACACTATTGTTTTCGTTGGTTTATTAGGTTTAGACAAATATGATTGATTGATTAAATCTGCCCAATCGAGACCTAAGAAGGATATGATTTTGGCCGTATCTAAGAAACAGCAGCGATGATTATGTTGTTAAAAAGTACTCAATAAAGTGATTACTACACTTGTTAAGGGATTTGCTAAGTAAAAGCCCTGTGCTTGGATCTGTGGGTTGCAAACGCGCTGCTTAGGGCGTGAGATATGCTGAGTTCGGGATTATGTGAATCCAGCAAGTGGTGTTTTTGATGGGTGACGAGAGGAAGGGACTAGGGAGGGAGGAGGAGAGGTCTGAGAAACTGCATAGGCAATAAATGAAGGAGCAGAAGCTGTTGGGAGAAAGCGTCGATATCATTTAATGCAAAGGGCTTGGCTCTGTCTCTAGCTTACGTGTACAACCCAATGAAAATCAGACACATGTCTTGGAGGTTTTGGGCGACAGTGAGTGGAGCGAGAGAGGGTGTGTGTCTGCATGAAATGATTGTAACCTAGTTTTGGTCTATTGCTATTTTTGAGGCTCAATTTGAGTCTGTCTGTTTACATGGATTGTTGGTAAAAGCTGAAGTCTTTGAGATGGGGAGAGAAAGGGTATGCAGTTTTAGGGTTATGATGGCACCTTTTGTTTTGGATTTGAAAGATGCCTGTTTGTAATAATACCAAGTAACATACAACTCATCTTCCATTGTAAACATAAAATTGTGAAATAAATGAAGACAGCTTTGTTCCATCTTGTTTCATTTCAGGCATGGAATAATAATACCCACATATTCATTAATCTATACTCTTTACTCATTGATTGTTTGCTATTTCTTAGACAATTGTTTTATATCCACTACCAGACTGCTTTAACTTATTGATTTTGTCTTCTCCAAAAAAAAATTTACGAAACTTATTATTTTCCATGCAAACTTAATTATTGTTTGAGTTTGAATGCGTAATGCACGAATTCTTCTTCTTTTTCTATTTTTTTTTAAAGCGTAAATTGTACGAATCGATTGTGGATGATGTTCCAGAGCTCACAGGGCTTTTACAATTTATTTGTAACTTCCATACAAAATTATGCAATTCTAGGATTTCACGTTCCAGCTGGACCACAAAATGTGAAATGCTGTGTGCATTATTAATATCAAGCAAAGACAAAATTTGTGTTGTGAATTTTTAAGTGGTCAAAACAACCCGTTTCTTGGCCTTAGTGTGATCCTTTATTTCTTCCAGGAGGCAAAATGACAGAGAAATTGAAGCGAGAAAAAAGAACCAAGAAAGGAATTGCACATACCAGCTTGGTTCATGAAAATAGTTAAAAAGAGGGAACAAAGCAGCTGGTTCATTCTCGAATCTCAAATACTCAAAAGATTAATGGTCTTGGATTTTCTACTTTCTTCCTCATTAGAAATTAAATTTCTACACCTTTTCTTTTACCTTGTAATTTTAAGTTAAAAGATAAAATGAATTGGCAAAGCATTTGTTGCCTATTCTTAATCTGTGTGCGTAATGAAGGGTGATATGATGGCAATAAAAATAAACTTAGATCTTTCATTTTTTATTATTATAATTTATTGTGTTAGAGAATAATATAAATCTATCTTGCAAGCTCCACCTAAGAACTTAAAACTTTTAGATGAGATAGTCATTTGATATGGCATTAGAACTTGGAGATCAAATGATCGTGAGTTCGAATCTTACCATCTCTATTTTTCGAAAAAAATTTTAATACACAAAAAGTAACTAGTGACATGTACGGTAGTTACTCTATAAATCCACTTGAAAGAGAAATAGACACATAATATTATATCCGGATCCATCAAAAGTGATAAGAAAATTTTCACGTTCGCTTAATTTTTTTTTTTATCTCTACTATTTCTCTCTTTTTTTTATTTATTTTTTTCTTTCAAGTGAATCTATAGAATAACTATTGTATATGTCATTAGTTACTTTTTGAGTATTATAAAATTTCTCTACTTTCTCTTCTAATTAATTAATCACAAAATAGTGTGGACCTATATAAATTTTAAATCCAAAAAGGCTTTTACTTACAAATATATGTTAAAGAATAATATGAATAATATTATGACATGTCAACTAAAAGATCCAGACTTCTTCTTCTTTTTCTTTTTTTGTGAGAGCTATTAAGTTACCGAGTTATTGACTTTTTCATTGACTTGGATGACGGTTTCAAGGAACATCCTAACATCAAATGGATAATAAAATAAACTTGCGGTATTGAAGTTTACGGGATCATAATTTGTAATTACGGTTTTCCTTTTCAAATACCGGAATTCCATTGAATATTGAACTGCATGTCCTGTTAGTACAAATATTAATTAGGTGTACGCACAACCTATGACACTTGCATACGGTAATTACGGCTCTCTCTCTCTCTCTCAAATAAACTATGTTGAAATTACGAGTAAATATTTTGAAAGGTAATTATTTTGTAATGCATATTGGAAGTTATTGTTGCACTCGTGAAGCAACAAAACATGCACATTAAAAAGGCTTCTCTCTACATCCACAATCGCACCTGTAAATTCGTTAAGCTCGCGCTCGCATACCTGTTCTTGCACTCGTGAAGCATGGCATCTTCTCTTTTTTCGTTGCTTGATTTGTTTTGCACAGTTGTAACTAATCATCAACTAGCTTTCTTAATTATAGATTAATTAAAGTTAGCTAGAATTAGTTATTGGTAATTCTTCTCCGTCGGTTTGTGTATATATATGCATTAAGCTCACGTTAATAAAGTGTGGGAAAGTTTTCCTTCCAATTGCTTCTATTTCTTTCTTTTCAACATGGTAATGGAGCCTTTGGCAATTTCATTTTCATTCTTTGTTTGTTAAGATTTGACATTGTTCATCACTTTTTCATAGAAATTTGTTATTATCATGGCAACTTTGCCTACAAATACTCCACGACCAACGATAGGAGCTTCATTCAAGCCCATATTTTCTTCATCCCAATGAAAATCCGAACTTCTACTCTTGTTTCAACCCCTCTCACTCGGATCCAACTATCACGGTTGGTCTAGATCAATTCGTATGACACTTTTATCTAAGAATAAGATCAAATTAATTGATGGATCTATTCCAATACCGAGCTTCTAATCATAATTCTTACCACTTGCGAGAGAGATGCAACACCATCGTTCTGTCATGGTTGTTGCATTCCGTGTCCGAATCAATTAGAAATAGTGTCTTATGGTTGGATACCGCCAAAGATGTTTGGGATGATCTCCATGAACGATTTTCTCGGGGAGATGCATTTCGCATATCCGATCTTCAAGAGGAATTTTATTCTCTTCATCAACGTTCATTGTTAATCTTTGAGTATTACACTCGATTTGAAGATTTTATGGGATGAGCTCACAAATCTCGGGCCTATTCCCGCTTATGTTTGTGATCCCAAGTGCAAATGTACCGCACTCAATATCATTCGTAATTATAGGTCAAATGACTATGTCATCGGATTTTTGAAGGGATTAAATGACGGCTTCTCTACTCGTCAAGTCTCGGATCATGTTGTTAGATCCCCTGCCTTCGATCAGCAAAGTGTTTACTCTAACTTCTCAACATAAAAGGCAATTCATGCCCGCTCCCGGATCCTCCTCATCTAGTGACACTACTGCTAGTGCCTTTTATGGTAAAAGCTGTCTCGTATTCCAAGAAAAATTTCAGAATAATTTTCGGAATCCAAAGAAGTTTTATCCGCTAAAGAGTTATTCTGCAAGAGCACTATTTATTCCTTCGTAATGAGAAGGACATACGTTGATAGATGTTTTAAGAAACATGGTTTTCCTCTTGGTATGAGGAACGATTCGGATCAACGGGAAGCTCGTCAATCAAGTTGATGTTCCTCTAGCCGGTGAAGATTCTCCAGAATTGAATCAAGACATTTACTCGCAAGGCAATCTGTAGGTCTTCATTCTGCTAGTATGCGAACACTCAACCTATAGGCATCACCTTCACTCGGGATCAATATTCCAAATTAATGGCTCTTATCTAACCTAACACCACTCCTACGAGTAATTCCTCATGTCAATACTATATCATTTAACTTTGCTCCTAATAGATGAAATGTCGAGTAAATATGTTTCCATATGTTCTTTTTTAAACAATGCAAAAACGGTTCAAAATCACACTTGGATTCTTGATTCAAGAGCAACGGATCACATTATTTGTTCTCTTGATTATTTTACCTCCTATAAATCTGTCATTAACATTTTTGGAAAACTTCCAAACGGTCATCTTACATATGTTTCTCACATTGGTCAAGTTCAATTGTCTCCCGATTTTATACTTGTATTAAGCTTTCTTTG